TACTTGTACTTGTTGCGGCTGCGATCCTAACTGATCTAGCCGGCCCCACTGATGTCCCCTGCGGTGATTCTCCGCGCGCGACGATCCGTGGCCGCAGACCATTATCTTTGCCAGCGCCGGAGACCCAATACCGAAGGTCCAAGAACCACTTCCATGTCCTGATCTCCACTTCGACGATTCCAATTAGGCAACGGTTTCGGGTCGAGAGCAGTAACACTGAGTTCGTGAGATTGACGGTGAAGAACGTGTCCAAACCACTTCAGTCGTCTTTTTTGGATTGCCTGAGATGTTGTCGCAGCGAGTGCGGACTGTCAAGGCAGCAGCGGCGGCAAGCAAAATTATTTAATGGCGTTTCACGCTCGCCACGTCACAGTGCCATCGTCAGGCTTTGCGACACTTTATAGGCTTTCGGCTTGCCAGGCCTCAGCCCGCCGCGCTCTGGTAGCATTACCGCTGCTGGTCCGCGACTGCTTATTTCACAGCTAACTTTCACTGAAGGTCGTTGCACTATCCGCTACACGTTGATGCGCCGGGTAACTGGCAACTAGGCTAACGGATAACCCGCCTCCTTATGATGTTTCCCCCTCCCATTTTGTTTTAACTTTCCTTCTGTATCTGACTAGGACCTATGACCTTTCTGTACACATTCAATTTAGTATTTTTCTCATTCGTGGACCTTAATGCAATGAGGGGTAGTAACTGAGGAGCTCTCATGAAATTTATGGTGCCATTAAATTTTACAGCGATAACCATCTTCAAGTTCTCTCCGGGAACATCATGCTTCAAACTTATGATGTTTTAACCAAACTTGTGAAATGTGTCTTCGTGTAGCAAATATTACCCAAGTAGACTTGCAATAGTACAACATAATCCCAAGATACGTAATTAGCAAAAGGGTGCTGGCTTTCGAAGAAACTTCTGTTCGGTCACCGTCAATAAATACGCTGTAGAAAATAAGTACCTCAGTGGGCTGATTCATTTCCATTGATTTTCACTGCCTTCATAAGTCCAAATATAGATTATAGGAAAGAAAATGCGTATGTCTCTTTAAAATCTGCTAACTGAAGAAGGGGTATCGTTTGGTTTTCGAAAACCTTTTTTTGATCTTCTCAGTAGTTCTAAACCCATCCTGTTCTTATGCCTGCGCTGAGGTTTTACCAACCACGAGCTGCATATTTATCGTGCATCGAAAATCCTACATTTATCTATGCCTTAAGGGAGCGCAACCATAGGGCTCGTCTTCAAGTCAACCACGTGGTAATCACGTGC